GCCACAACCGCATCATTTCGTTCCTCTCCCAGACGCTCGGCCTCATTGCAGAATGTGACCTCGGCACTGAGCATATGCGATGGATGGGCAGTGCGCGTTTCGAGGTCGGTGTCGTTCAGCGCATGTTTAAGAAGAAGTGCTACCCCTTTGACCTGGCTGTCAAGGTGGAGATCGAAGACAAGGGCGATGTCAAGGCTCATTACAAGCATCACGCAAGCTCTACGAGTCTGAATCATCTAGCTAAGAAGCTTGATGCAGACCCCGTAGCCGAAGATGCAGGTTTGCCGCCGTTGAAGTATGGCACGATCCAGGATGATCTCCCTGAAGGATGGGAGTTGATCCCCTATGACAAGGTTGGCACATTCTACGCCGGTAACGTGAGTAATCAAAGTAGCCCTTGCATTTGGAACAATACTGACTGTCATAGATGGCTTATATGTCACCTGATGCTCCCTTCTTCGCTGCCTCACTCATCTCGGATGGTTTGATGGACCTTGTCACTATCGACGGTGATCTGCCCTTATTCACAGCTATCAAGGTCCTTCTCGATGTTGAAGCTGAGAAACTGTTTGACAACCCTCATGTCACCTACAAGAAGATCTCGGCTTATCGCATCATTCCCCGGGATCAAGAGGACGGCTATATAAGCATCGATGGTGAGAAGTGCCCTTTCGGACCTTTCCAGGCCGAGATCCACCAGGGCCTTGGGCGAGTCATCTCCAAGTCTGGCAAATATGAGGCCGCGGGACCCAAGAACTGGGACAAGGTGACACTAGCTGACCGCATCCATGGATGAGAAGAGAGCATGAAATTGGATTTATGACATGTTGGAATGGTGGCGGCTAGGGAAGCAGATGGAAAGAAAGGCTTTCTGGCGATAATGATACCCACGTAAAAGGATGAGCACATAGCAAGAGTTCTAGAAGTAGCACTTTTTAATCTCAGTGATTTGGTTTTAATTAGAGATTTGTATGAGCCACCACTCTGTAGTAGCTTAGCTACCTTACCTAGGTATTCTCCTTTTCGGTATAATATTGGTACTGTGCGTAGCTACCAGCAATTAGGTCGTCGGTATGATAACGGATGAGAGAAAATAGATTCGTTTTTCTACTTACATAGCCTCGTCCCTACTCACTTGAAATAACAATAGCCCCAGATTATTCAAGGCACAACCAAGTCTTTTAGCTTTCCACGGGCTCTCATCATTTTGATAAGCTGAGACTGACGCAGGAACCAACAGTGAGTGGATCGCGGGGTCCTTGAAAGCTACCCCACTGTCAACCTCAGGTCTTCACAGCAACTGGCTTCATTCCTCCTTTATTGTACCTGGTCGATGAGACTCTGTGCTTCGCACTGCCAATAAGGCTCTCAGTTATTTAAAATCGAGGCTTCAGGCATTGTACTTTCAATCCGAGTTCTTTTTTGACGCTGAAGGCAGCTCATTTGTGCACGACATGGTTCGTCGAGGTCGAGGTAACAGGATGCCATCGGGCCCCTGGGGGAGATTGAAACCTGTCGAGCAGGATCCGCTACAAAGCATTGGCCTTCCTTCTAAGGGTGACGACAGGTGTGTGTTAGGCGGTCAATGTTGTCTAGAGACTTGCGAGATTGATCAGTTCCCACAAGACAAGATAGAAAGGCTGACCAGAGACAGCTTGCTCAACCCCAAGACCCAGGAGTGGTATTATAATCAGATAATTTCACGTTTCCTTGCTTTCTGCACAGAAGCCGGTGACAAGGACTCAATTATACGGAGTTTCGAAGCTCTAGATATAAGAGCAGTCGATCCGACTCCTGCAACACCATATACCAGACCTCCACCTGGATACAGACAGTCTTCCGCGGCAACTTCTGCAGCAGCGTCGTCTTCAACATCAGCCCCTGAAACTTCAGCTAGAAATGCTACTGGTTCTTCTCAAACCCCTGACCCAGATTCCGCCAATGCTGCCGCGTCGCCTGCATCCTCTGCTCTAAGTGGCACTCTGAAAGCCCTCCGTTCTATCATACCGTCTAGTGGACCATCGACTTCTATGCTGGCAGCTATTGAGGATCCTGACAATACCAAATCTCTGCAGGATGTTCTAATGGCATTGAGGAAGCTTAGAGAAGGGTTGGTGGCTACAAAAAGAGCTGATCTTTTTTCGATCCAAGCATACATCTTCTCTATCCGTCTGTCCATTCTTGCCAAGCATCCCGAATCATATCACCCGGCGATTCTACACCTTCTTCGATACATGGCTGTATGGACACCCATGGTTCATAGTGAGATCGAGGAAATTACTGGTTATTTCATGCTGGATGCCGCGTGTCGGCGTAGGGACCTGACCGAGGCATATTTCATCAGACAAGACTTCAACATCAGGAACAAGAAACTAGACCGGATACTCAAGGCGCTGGCGCACGACGACTATGTCTCATGGCAGTTCTCGAAGAAGCAAGTCAGCCGACACTGCTTGAAGTTGATGGAGTGGGCCGACGACGATTTGAGACTTCACACCCTGAAATGCTTTTCAAGGTCGTATTTCAACGTGGATCTGCCATTCTTGGAGTTTGCTACTGGTCGCAAGTGGGATGAACTGAAAGAGAAGGACAAGGTTGGATGGGAACTCGGCGATGAACAGAAGGTCACGATTCGGAAAGTACGAGCCAAGTAAAAGTCTGCGTTGGCACTTTCCTCAGCAGCTGGTGGCAGGGGCGAGCAGTGTCTGCATGCATGGCTTGAGGAACCCACTTATAACTCTTGCCGTTGCTTCAATTTTAATGTACAGCGTTTCTTTTCACGATATCACTCTTCCATTGAAGCTTCGGACTCTACTGCTGTTTCTTGAAGACGTTGCCTGACTGAATAATGAATCTTAACCAGCAGATTATTACCATGGCCTCATATACACCTCCAGCGAAGATGTGGCAGGATTGTTGACACTCTGCTCTCCTATCAGGCACATTCTGATAAAGGCGACCCAATGGAGACCCTCATGGACTGAGAATTGGCAAGTCTCATAGACGGTGCCTCCTTACCTCCCCCACTGCTAATAAATGTGCAGTGCCAACCAGGTGCCTGTAGGCTGTGTGTGTTTTCTTCAACCAACCTGACCTAGCAACGACAACACAACATCACGAACTCACTTGGCAACCAAGGTATTTTGGAAACAAATCCAGATACTTCTTACGAATACTAACAATTTTTAGACTTCAGTTACCTTAAGTATCGCCGCGAGCGATGGCTAGCAACATCAAACTGCACTTTGCTTCACACCAAGATTCTGCTCTCTTCACCTTCTCTGCATCACTTGCAAAGTGAAAGCGCAATCGACTGAATTCTTTTTTGATACTCACACGACCCACTTACATTAAGCAAAACAACTCCTTCTGACAGCGCCATGGCACCTCCGCGAAAGAAGCCCCGTACCCGTGTCAGTCCTAAGGAGGACCCTGCCGATGAGCAGTCTGCTGGCATTCTCACGGACTATCGCACCTCCTGGCTTCTCAAGTAGGCGCTTCTCTTTCGCCTCGAGCTCAGAGGCTTTTAGAATCTTGCGCTGGGAATAAGTGTCGCTGACCTATATGCATGCACAGGAATGACGAGCAGCTAGTCGAGCTCAAGGTGAAAGGCGAAATTTTCCGAGTCGCCAAGAACGTCCTGACCAAGAACTCGGAGTACTTCGAAGGCTGCTTCAACGGTCGCTTTGACGAGGCCAAGAGGGGAGGCGTTAACTTCGATGACGAGGACATGGAAGCGCGATACCTAGGTCTCTACATCGGGGTCGCCTACAGTCACTCCTCTATTGTCCCACATGCGCCTCCCCGTCCTGCCCAGAATCCCGAGGCAGCACCTATCAAGACTCCTATGCGAGACTATGTCGAAGTCTACAAGCTTTGCGACCGCTTCATCAGCCCCAGCATGGGGGACTTCATCAGCCGCTGCATCGACGTCGCCATCGGCAATTTGCACCGCGCCCTCCACCGTACCGAGGCCGACCAAGGAACGCAGAAACTACTCATGCGCGACTTTGCCGACGGCTACGAGGCTCTTGACATGCGGCACAGCTCCCAGGTTGAGATTGGCGACCGGATGATCACCTACTTCTGCGAAGGGGTTAGCTACAAAGCTTGGATTGAGACGATGGAGGACCTTCGTGATCGTCCCAAGTTCATTGGCCATGTTTCTCGCGGTTTCGCGACCAAGCTTCAGGAGCTTCAGGCCAGTCGTAAACTCAGACGTAAGGAGTGGGCCGGTCCTGGCATTGCCTAGGATAACAACCTTTGCAACGAGAGAAGAAGAGGATGAGCTTCTTCCGAAAAAAAGTTATGGCTATTCGAGAAAGGTTCTGGCGACGAAGAATACCCCAATGATGATGATGATGATGCCACGGGTGATGATGATATTTGAAACCATTGCGAATGATGCGTGCAGATGCAGCCTGACCAGTCGCTACCTAGTGAGCAAGTGAAATGAGACTGTTGAGGAACATAACATGATGATATATCCCGTGAAAGTGTCCAATTGACATTGCCGTAGTTGTTCCTGCAGAGCTTCATGTTTCAGTGATTCGGGATGTTAGTTGGTCGAGGTATATATGTAGACTATCTCGTGATTGAACAACATCGGGACCTCGCATAAATAGATTGGCGAGCCGATAAGGGATATGATTGGCGTGCCTTATTTTTAAACTCAAACCTCACATTTGAACAAGTAACTTACCTAGGTACCTAGTTTGCTGTCTGGTTGATTTTCAGTTTATATGTTGTTTATTGCTTGGCTACTTTATTTTGTTTATTCATCCCCAAGATCTTTAGGCCCGTCCCGGACACACTCTCCTATACAGATTTATCCAACCACCTACGCGGCAATACACCAATTAATCCTCTTGGCTATTGAACTGAGGTATTTCTCGGCTTAAAACTTAACAACCTTGCCCAGACGAAAAGGTCTTGTCGTATGGATCGTCGCATGAAATCGCGGAAGATAACCACCGGGATAAAAGAGGACGTAATGGACATCAATCACCGCGCATGGGCAACATCAGAGAGACAATGTCCTCGGAAGTGTTACTCTGGGCTGATAGGGGTTCTTCGGGCCAGGGACCGGCTAAGTCGTCGGGAGTGGGGTCTTCGGGGGTGCAGAACTGCAAATGGTTGAGGGATCGGTCGGGGCTCATTAGCCGCCGGGAAACCTCGGCCTGTGATCCAGCGAGGCTCATGACGTTTTTGGGTTGAGTTGAATGTGAAAATTCAAAGCAAGGCGTGAGCATGTGGGACTGAGCCGACGATACACAAAACAGGTAATTGAGGAGGAACAACAACAACAAGACAAGGTGTGTGTGTGTACACGTAAAATGAGAGAGAGAATGGTCGTGACCTGTAAAATGGGATATTTCTATACCCAAGTAGTGTATTGCAGTGCAGTGTAGTGTAGTGTAATCTTTCATACAGCATCCATATCTGTCGCTAGGTCGTGAGATAAATGTTGGACCCAATCAGGTGAGTTGTCCTTTCAAACAGTAATCCCAAGCAAGATGGTATTCCTTTAAACGCCGATCCAATGTAGTATTTCAAGGCTTGAGGTGGTCGTGAAAGCCGTACCAGTAAACTCCGACACATCCCCGGAGGAGGTATCGCTGTCGCTTCAAGCAAGTAAAATGAGACAAGGGCGTTGTGAAGCCCGACTTTGGTGTTTTTTTCTTTCTTTCTGTTTTTGTTTTTCTTTGTGTCGTCCTTGGATGGATTCATTTATCGTTTCTCGTAATATTGAACGGCCTTTTCGAGTTCGTCGAGGCTTGATCGATCACCGTACATGTTCATGAGAGCCTCATTTCGCTCTCGGTATGCGGCATTCTCGCGCTCCGTGGCTTCCATCTGAGCGATGCGTCGTCTTTGTGCCATTTCGAGTGATAGCTTTGCTCCGTAACCAATAGCCACAACAGCCGCGACGGGCTTGACCCTGTAAATTGATGGTCAGCATCCAGTGGTGTCGTGTGACACTGAATATATGACACTTACAGCTTTCCAAAGGACATTCTCTTCTGGGGGCGAAGGTGAGGAACAATGTTGGGATGGATGCGGGCGGCAGTGGAAAAGGATTGTCGAGGAACACGCATCATTGTGAAGGAGGAAGATGAGGAGAACAAGGTTGGTAGTATGAAGGTTTGTGTCTGTTTAGGACTGGGCAAGGGTTGGCAGGTAAGGCAAGGTAAGTAAGGTGAGTTAGATGTAACTCGGTAATAGTAATCCGTACTTGAACTAGTCTAATGATGGGAGGAGGAAACGGGAAAACCGTTGGGGGGAGAATAGAGCGGATGAGAGTTATTATAAGTTCACTCTGCTGATAATTGTTTCAAGTGAGAAATGTGCCAGCTGCCTTAGTCTGTTCTATGTGTCGCTACGTCAAGTGCAGTGCGTGCAGCATCTCCGGCTAACTACTAAGAACCCCAGACTTGGACAATAGGTACGGTACCTTGACGAACTGGGGTCATGATCGAACGACAAGACGCCCTGGGGATGGCGGCGATGGGCGATACCCAGAGAGACTCGAGCCTTGAAGTTCAGACACGGACAGGGCAGTCAGTGGAGGCTGTGGGGCGGGGGTGTGAGTGCGCCCCCCAGAGTGGCAGAGACAGAGGAGAGAGAGAGAGGAGAGCGGCACAGAAGCCGAACAGCGATCAGGTGCCTGCCCTGGAGCCCCGACTAAACTTGCCTCTACAGAAGGGGACCTTGGAGGCTTAGGGGATGATCTCCCTGTAGAAAAGGCCCAAAAGCGTAAAAGTTGTACATAATACACGCTCTGATGGTGAAGTGGGGAAAGCTGTGGATGGAGCGGGAGAGTGGGCGTTTAGTGTTAGCGCGTGGCACGATGCGGGATGAGCTTGAATTGAGGCGGGGTCGGGAAGGATTGTATTGGTTGGAGTTCTCTTGGTCTTGTTCTCTTTTACTGGCTTGTGCCTCTGTAAAGAGAATTGATGTGTTGTTGATTCTTTGACCGACAAAGATTGAGGCCTACCTAAGGTACCTACCTACTGAGCATAAGCAGGCGAACGAAACGCATGGGATTAATTGCTGGAATAAGAAGCAAGCAAGGTATTCCACGATAACTTCACAATGAAGCCATTCTCGGCTGGAGTCGGGTCTCACATTTTCGTCGTCACTTTCTGGCATCTCATCTGCCCCGAGATCCAATCTTTTTGATTCCGTTGAAAAACATTCGACCAAGGTCAAGCTCCCACCAAACAACGGCACCTGTGCACGGCCAACAGTGGGGGCATACCCTCTAGTCTCACCACCATGACCTCACCATGGCCTTTCTTGGGGGTTGAGTGGGCTGGTCATTTTCCCAATACTGAGATCCATCCATTGTCATTGTCCCTTAATGATACTGGTATGTAATGCCGGCTCTTGTGTAAAATCTCCTGTTTCTTCTTGGGGCTGGACCTATTACTGAGTTGCAGTTGACCCTCCCCCCGATTTTAGTGGCACCACCTTCAACGTCTCGTGCATCTTGCATCTGCATCTGTTGCACATCCGACATCTCAAGTCTCTAATAATGCTTCATTCTCACACCACCAGGCACAGACACGGCGAGACATGCGTTTCTTCTATTTCCTTTTTCCAATATGCGTTTCTGCATTACAACCTTTCGGTCACTTTCCGCTTTCCCCCGCATCTCCTCTCTGTACGGCATCTCTTGTTCACCTTGGCATAAGATTGTGTCTCGTGTTACGAACGAATACAGGAACACGTAGCTGAGGACGCGTCTTTTGGGCTGCTGCTGCTGCAGAAGCTGTCCAACGTTAGAACATGGCATCTGTGGCGCCTGTGCATACAACCCTTTTGAGTAAAGTAGCGTTTCCCCGCGTCTTCCATTTCACGCGACACAGCCAGCACTTGGCTAATTTCCTTCTTTGGACAGAATGCAACACCTGCCAGAATCCGCCAATCATACGAATCGGATCCCTCTAGATCGCCGTCTTGCTGCTCGGGCATTCACACGGAACTGACTGCTCAGTCCGCTATAGCAGAGAATCAGACAAGTCAGGTAACAAAAGCTCCTTGCAGCAAAATGTAACAGACCAAATAGGTACAACTCCTCTTTTGCGCCGTATCCGCAGCCATCCATTTGTGTTGGATATCCCTTTGTCTGCAACACTTTCAGCCTCATTCGGCTCTGCACCCGTTAGTTATGGAGAATTCAAGGGTCCAGGCTCCATCCACGGCCTAGTTAGACAATTCCCGGCTCCACGCAAGGTCAAGGCCCAGTTCTTCTCCGCAACAGCTTCATCTTTCAGGCGTGAGATTTCCAATGCCACAATCACAGCCTGAAGCTTCTAGATTTATCAAGACATCGACGCTTTCTGACTATGTGTCTTGTGATAACCTGGCAAGCACATACATACATACCGTAACCCCGCGTTATAGATCAACATCCTCCACTCGGACGCTACCTTTCAACCTTTATTATTGGCTGATATACTGGCTATCCCCCACGATATGTAAACTCACGGACGCCATCATTTCATGGATTCAAGACCGGTGTCAGTTTGTGTGAAATGTCATTTACGAGGAGAAAACAGCATGCATATCCTCTTTTCTTCTCTGAAACGGAGATTCTGCAACCGAGTGTCTGTCTCCATAATCCGGACAGGTAGTTACATGCTTCTTCCCGGCATGATTGAGATCAAGACGGCCCGGTTACTATGCAGCAACTGAGCAGACAGCCCTTGCATGTCGAGGCGAGCGGCTTTGAGTTTCAATGAGGGGACATCCTCGAACAAGCACTTCACTCTTCGCTTCAATACCAACGCATCAGGTCGCAACAGTGTGGGTTGCAGCATAAAGACACGGATCGGGTACGTGAACAAGGGTTTGACCAACAAGAGCGAAGCTCACGGAGACACTGGTGAGATTTACTTTAGACCATCGAGTGGACGAGGACGGGCATGTACATAGTCCATGATGATCTCGTACTAGGTATTCATGCTGTAATCCCGTGGTTATAATTCAGTTTGTTACGGTGACTAGTACATACGACCATAGGTAGTNNTAGTTGGGTCGGTGACGACCAGCGAATCCCCACTGTTGTATGTTTTTTGCTGTTTATAGCTACTACTAATCTTTTACTTTGCCTTGAACTGTCTGTCTGATGGATGAATCGTAGAGGGTGAGGAGTGTTGTTCTTGTAACAAACAGTTGCTGAAGAGCCGACTAGGCTGCGAAAGATGGACCTTGTAATTCTGACTCATCTACCGAACTCCATGCCATCACCTCTAAGCAGCTTCCATGGAACCTTCAGGATAAAAATTAAACATGGGACAAAGTAAGACAGTCTGAGTACCAGGTGCATATCGAGACAGAGAAATCTTGATCTTGACCGGTTTGTTGACTCGTTGCAATGTCTTCGTCAAAACTGGCCCCCGGCCAACCAGCAACGATAGATTTATTGCCAGCTGAAGAACTACTCCGCCATCTTCTGCTTGAGTGCCGACAACAGCTGGCGACGCCAGACCTTGAGATATGGATAACTGGTGGCTGGGTGAGAGATCGACTTCTAGGCATTCCATGCGCCGACCTGGATATCGCTCTTAGTACCATGACTGGTGTGCAATTCGGCAATCTTCTGACAAAGTTCCTCGAGCAGAATGAGGGCTCCTATCGGCAGCGAGCACTAGGCTTGGGAATCGACTTCAATGAATTCAATGGTTTCCATACAACCAAGAAGAACCTCGACAAGTCAAAGAAACTCGAGACTTCTGTTGGAAGAATCTTTGGCTTGGACCTGGATCTTGTCAACCTGCGTAAGGAGGTATACGACGACGATTGCCGTACCCCAGAAATGGAGTTTGGCACCGCCGAGGAAGATGCATTCAGACGTGACGCAACTGCTAATGCCCTGTTCTTCGACCTGCAAAACCGAAAGGTTGCCGACTTTACTCGCAGAGGCCTGGACGATCTGTATGCTGGCAAAATGCGGACACCACTCGAGCCAAGGCAGACCTTTCTCGACGATCCCTTGCGTGTGCTTCGTCTCATCCGCATAGGAAGTAAACTCGGGTTTACCCTTGATTCCGAGGTTCTAAGCTGCATTAGAGAGCATGAAATCCATGTGGCTCTAGACGAGAAGGTTAGTCGGGAGAGAGTTGGCATTGAGGTCTTCAAAATGATGAAGAACCGGAACCCTGAGCTGTGCTTTTCATTAATCCACGAGGCCAATCTCTATAGAACTGTTTTCTTGACGTCGTGCTCTCCTCTTCATGAGCCTCTCCATCGTCTCCTCCCCCAGGAATCCGAAAGGCCATGGCCTGCCACTTGGTCGCGGGCAATCAACGCTATTACGACTTTAGCACAGGATCTAACAAGACATTTTGGGGCTTTGATGGAATCTGAGAAACAGAAAGATATGCTTTGGGCGATCGTGGCTTATGCTCCGTTAGCAGGGCTGAACCCCCAGGACCATAAGCTTGCCGTTGACGAAGCTATAAATGCCCTAAAGGGCACCAGGCAGCTTTACAAACTTATAGAATCGTCGCTAGGGAACTTGGAATCTATCCGATCCACTGTAGAGCTAGTGGTCAGCTCTACTCCGTCCCGGGGCACGATAGGGATGAGGCTCCGTGAATGGGGAGTCTTTTGGGGCCTGCAGGTTCTTTTCTCGGCCCTTGGAGAAATAGTGTACTTGAGGCCACAGCCGGAATTTCCAGACCCTAGTCAGGAGGAAATCCATAAAGTTCTACAGAGACATGAAGCCCTGCTATCATTTGCCCAGAATCAGGGGCTGGATTCGGTTTCTTCATTGAAGCCAATCTTGGATGGAAACGCCATAAAAAAGGCTCTTGGGGTCAAGCAAGGAGGGAAATTCCTTGCCAGGGCGATTGAAGGTCTGCTTGAATGGCAACTCGATCATGAGGGGGCAGACGAAGCAGCGGCTGAGGCATGGCTTCTCAGCCAGAGGGATGAACTTGGCCTTCCAACAGCTGAAAGCAAATGAAGTCCCCAACTCGGCTATCCGAGCGATATGGTACATCCCCGGTATCCTGAAAGTTGATCTGACCATCTTGTAGCTTGAAATTCACGAACAGCATGGTCAGACCATGAACAGAGGTTGAGAAAGAGGAGAGAAGTGTCGTTGGAAACTCAAGTCTTACCCTGAACCTAATCGTATGAGACTTACAAGTGTCTAATGTCATTAATGAAGGAAGGACAGAATATATAAACTCATCTACCTTTTGTGCCTATTTAATGGTCTCCTCCAAAACTAACGTCTCATAAATGCATCACTCTATCCTCTGCGTATCCTAGAAAACACCTGACAGGCCTATAAACATCATCGCACTGACCAATACCTCCAAGGTATCCCACTTCTTCATAGACCTCTTCCTCCGACATGTCTAGCTGATCTCGAGGATAGAAGGACTCGCCGTTGACAACCTCGTCTATTTCCTGTAGGGAGTATTTGCGTAACCAATCTTCCCAGACTCTATCCCAAATAATGTTCGTTTCGGTGGTACTTGTTTGCAAACAGCCTTCTCGCCACATCATCTTGTAGTTGAGAAGCATGGCAGTAAGAAACTCGGTCGCTGTCCTACTAGAACCGATCTTCCAAGATTCTGAGCGGGATGTCTTTTGCTGTCGCCATATTTCGCACCAGACGAGAAAACGGAGGATGAGTTGGCGAGGAGCCCACTGCTTCATGTCTTCGGTTTCAGGGAGGATGTATTGGTGAATAGCATCAACCCTTGATGCTGTCTTGACCCCAAACATGAGGCCCTGGAACACTGGCTGAACTGCAGCCAGAGCACGACTGAATTGGCGATCAGTGAGTGTGAAGCCTAGCAAGTTGTACCATTCCATGAAATGAGAAAATGCAACTCGGACAGGGGGAGAATCTACGAAAGACAGTATCTCTAGGGCCTTACGCTTCTTGGCTTTGCTGTCCTCAAGCGCAAAGAGCTTCGTGACCATGGCATCAGCAAAGTCGTGAAAGTATACGTCGGCATGCAATCCTTGAGGACTTTTCGGGCGGTTCCCGAGGTAGAGAATGGGATTTGTGAAGATGATGAATTCGTAGTCGCAATGCTCTTTGTTGCACCAGTTGACGGATGGATTTCCTCTCCCTCTGTCAAATTGACGACGAATCAAGTTTCGACGCATGAGTCGTGAGCGGCGTAGAGAGCGAGAGACCAGCCTAGTGTGAATACCACCCGAACCGTTGTACGGAGTGTTTTCGCACACACGGAGTAGATACTTGATGCATACTTCTGCTCCAAGCCGGCCTTTGGTGGCTTTCTTCTCTTTAACAGGCTCGGATCTGTCTCGGAGGGCTCCCAGGATGCCTGAGATACAGTCACGAGGCGATAGAGGCGGCTTCTGAGGGTCGTCTGGAGGGTTGTTGATGTCGCCATCATTCTGTGGTTGTTGAGACATATCATGGTCGTCGGTTGGGGCATCCGACGAGACGAGCTCTGAGTTAACATAAGTAGGCGATAGAGATGAAGGGATAACAGGGACGGGACTTGATAAATTACTTGAGTGCTCCATGATTGGAAGCTGAAATGTATTTGACAATATCAACAATAGGGGGGAAATAAAGCGACAAAGTCGCGAAGTCTCGGGAATGGAGGAAAAACTTATATGAGCACCATCGCTCAACGTTCACTCCGGGTGACTTGTGACTATTCATCCAACACCCAATACGAAACGAAAGTCTGCAAGGCATTGTTCCGAAATCTTCTCAAAGAACGAAGGGGAACAAAGAACGCGGATATGTTCACAAAGGACCTGAGCCTGGTCACCTCTAGGGGACCCCCCATGTATCAAAGAACAAGGAGCCAGCTAGATATAGAAACTGGCGTAAAATGTGACAGGTTATTTCCATGTTTAAGTAAGTTCAGGGGCAGGCGGGTCACTGCCACGAGCAGATTTGATGAGTTAACGTCCAACTTGCATCCAGATACTACTCCCTTGTGAGGAAGTTCATTTGGCTGGTAGTCAGAAATGATCACCACAAGAACTTCCTGCACTTCTTGCTACCACATAGACAACGAGTCATATGATCGATGTCGCCACCCGATTCCTCTCCCTCATGTGAGACCCCATCAACATAGTCAAATGTAAGCTCCTCACCCTCAGGTATGTCCTTGATTGCGAACAAGGCAAGATCGTGAATATGCTTGTCAGCATGATCACCCACGCGCGCAAAGATCCGCATGTTGGGGTCGCAAGAGTGATTGACGAATCGCGTCGGGCCAGACATGAATTCACCGTCTACCTCAAGGGATGGACCCTTTAAGCGATGGTCGAAAGACTCGGGGTCTGTGAATTTGTCGAGAGCGAAAAGGTAAACATCCTTACGTTGTGAGATAGCAGACTGTGAGCGGCGTCGATCTGCTTCATCGGATGTGATGATCTCGCCGAGATAGCGGTCGACGAACTGGCCTTTCTTAATTGACACGGTAGCTCTCACTCCTATTTATTTTGGTCAGTGAATTGTTTACTAGGTAGTCAAGATGAGAATGACACTCACCCCATCCACGGTCTGGAGTGCGAAATATCTCCAAGGGGATCGTTCTGCCACGCTCGACGACGCGATTTGGACAGTCTATACTACAGGAGCAGCTTTGGTGACACTCGTAGATAGGCATCTTTGAGTTGTGGAACTTGGAGCGCAAAAGACCGGCCTTTGCACCGTGGGAGTGGTAAGCATATGCTATCCTCCGAGGCTTTGGTGTGGTTCTCTCTATCCTGTCGCCAAAGGCATCAAACTCATCCTCATCGCTAGAGTCGTCGTCTTCTAAATCGGCGAGACAGTGACAACTTGTGTACTGGCACTCTGAGTCCTTGGCGCAGGAGCAGCCGCTGCGGAAGCTATCACCAGCTTGCTCGACTCCTTTACCAAGGACGACGTTGTTTATGAACCTAAAGTCATCAGGGAGTACCTCATCGTCTTGTTCGTTAACGACTGTCACGGGGAGTGTTGAATGAGTCGGAAAAGCGCGAATCTGACACCAGTGACAATTATTGCGCTCTACTTGATAGCCCTGCAAGTTAGATTAGTCATACCTAGGTAGCTATAGCTGATATGAGATTGAGTGAGTACGTACCTCTTTGCCGTGGAAGTAGAAATGGCGTTCTGTGGCCTTTAGCATCGTAGCCATGTTGATTGTGCAGTGAGTGTGTTGTTAGAGAGGACGGCTTGTCTGCTTGTTTGTTTGTTTCAGGCTCAGAAACGGCGTAATGTTGTGTTGATGGTGAGAAAGTACAAAACATGTATTATTAAATGAAATTAAGAATCGTTGTTTGAGAGCAGAAAAAAAGAGACGGGTCATTCATGTTCTGTCTTGTGTAAAGCAGAGATGGATACATTTGTCTGTCGAGCTTGAAATGTTAGAGCCCACGGACGGTGAAGCACTGAAACTGCCCGAGTTGGTGGGTGCCTGTCAAGGAAGAGCCACATGCTGATTGGCCCCATGCTTCGGTGAATGTCAAGGTGAGCACTGTGGATGTTTGGCAACTGTAGGTACTGTACTTTAGAGAGAAAACTTGCTGAGGATCCATCTTGTGAAGATCAGTACTGTCTATTTTAGACATTGATTGAACTTACCCAGGGGATTCATCCAAATTCCCTTGATCTGTAAATTGACAAGTAGTCAAGATTAGGTAGATGGCAGTGTTTCACAATAAACAAGGGCATTCCCGGACACGGCCATGGCGTTGTATCTGAGAAGCACAAGATCTATAATATAATACAAGTCAAGGTCCTCATCAGCATAATAACCAAATAGTCAGTCTGGGAACCCCTGCCTTGTATACAGAACCCCACCAACGAGACTCAACTTGGTGATACACCTCCAGTAACCAACCTACAGAGTACAGCAGTGGGTAGACTGAGCCAGTCACTGATGGATTAGTCTAGTCTATCCTGCGATTAGTTACGAGTCCCTCGAGTTTCTTGGCTGAAGCCATGGAGGCATGTACATACTGCATCAAGCCCTCCATCAAATCGTGTGCATCATACTACATAAAAGGCCGCGTCTCCCCCGGGTTCTATGAGTGACGACTTGAGCTTAATCTTTCGTCACCCTGACCAACATCTTGTCTATCCGTATCTCCATGTGGATTGAATTGATCCCTGCTAGACCATGCAATCAATCAGTGATCAGCAATTCAAGGACTAGATCATACAGAACAAGCAATTGAACTCACATTTCATCTCTCGCTCTCTCTCTCTCTCTTACTCGATCAAGACTCAATTTAATCACCTAAACCAATAAAAGATCAACCAACAAGACATCAACATCAACATCTTCTTCTTCTTCTTCTTCTTCTTCCTCTTCTTGATCGTCTTATTAGTCTGGTTCCTTTTTTTTTAGGCTCTAAGTTTGTCCCGCTTTTACTGTTCGCCTCCCCCTGGTCTGCTCTAAGCCTGGTCGGGTCTGTCCTATTGTAGGCCGTAACTTTTAGTAGGAAAGCCCCCAAAAGGAAGATTCGATAGGCTCGGCGACTCCAGAAGCAGAGCAAAGCCCAGCCAACAAACTCGGCTCCCGTCTATAATAACCATTCACATCACATCACAAGCATACGCATACACATACATTATATACTTCCGTACATAATACTTAGTACATCCTTCGTCTTCTTTCTGCGCCTCCTTCGTGCGTCCATCTTCTTCTTCTCCTCTTTCGTTCAGTCTGTCAGTCAGTCAGTCAATTATTCAACTGCGACATCTTCTACACCCGCCATATACAGTGATACACCACGCTACACTGGCTCGCTGTCCCATCTGATCTGATCTGATCGATCTGCGACCTTACTTTGGCCAGCGATGGCTAGTCACTAAAAGTCGGGATCCTCATTCCTTAACAAGACCTTCCTTCAATCCACAGGTCAACGGCGATCGTCGCCGTCTCTTGTAGCGTAGCAAACATGGTCCGGCTCTTCTCTGCTCGCAACATAAACATGTCGTCTCCTCTAACATTCCACTTCTAGGGC